TGTATATATATATATATATATATATATATATTGTAAGTAGCTAAAAGAGTTACTCGATTTATTTATCTCAAGAGTGTAATCTTAACATACTTAAATGTAATTTCTCTCTATTCTTGTATGTTTCGATAAATACATGTCTTTTAGTAGCTTTCCACCAATTGTATTCTACTAAAAGGTACAAGAGATGATGTATAAGTCTAGGTAGGTTGTTAAGTTAATAATTTAAGGTACTCACAATAAATTCATCATATAAAATTTATATTACAAATAAATCTAAAAAACAAAAATATTCTTTTTTAATTATTTTATTGTTGACTTTATTATAGAAATGCATCATCCGCTATCAATCATTTATCGGATACTTAATTTATGCAATCAATTAATCGAACAAGGTAGTTGTTGATATAATTTTTTTATTTGGATCTATAAGAGGGTTTTCTTATGAAGTCATCTATCACTTAGTGTAATGACACGTATGTGTCCAAAGTGTATTTATTGTATGACACGTGTCAATACACTATTTGTGAATAAGTGTGGATGATTCCGTAAGTCGTGTCATCCGATATGGTTCAATAGCAAAATTGTTCATTACAAACTAATATAATTAGTTTTTAAAATATTTTTCGCATAAATATAAGGTTTAAAAGTCGTGTTTTTGCATAAGTAAAATTAAATCAAATGAGAGATAATTATGTTGTGTACTGTTATGAGTCACTGAAAGTTTTGTCCACTGGGAGAAAATTAGTCAACGGAGTTTAGTGGGATTCATAAATGTGCTGACCATCACAGTAAAATGCATGGCACTTTCTTAATAAGGATTAATGACAATGGCTTTGTACAATTAACTGAAAGTACAGCGCGTAAATATAGGCCCATTGACTTTATAATTTCTTTTTATACATTCTTCATTGTTCTTTTCATTTTTTTTTTTCTTTTTTACAAGAGTACCGTTTTATTTTTTTCGGCCAATCCAAAATATTGGTCATTCATAATCGTGTCTTTTCTATCGTTTCGACAAAAAAAAAATACTCAGCGTTCTTGGCTGCGTAATCTATTCTGTTGTAATTGATATATGTAGCTCCAATCACAAAAATATATATATATATTATGGAAACATACATTAACTTTCATCATAATGTCATGTGCCAACAGAGGCTGGTGTTAGGTCACAATTAGATAACTCTAGTTAGTTTAATATTAATATGTGCTTTTTGAACTAAAATGTCATGCTATAAAAACAACACAATTAGAAATATGATATTTCATGACATAATTGCAGAACCTTGCTTGTAAGCTCGGTTGGGCAAGCCTCATTTAATAAACGAGCTGATTTCGAGCTCGTTCATTAGTTAACTCGACTCGGTTCGGTTTGACTTGGTAAAGTTCAAAAATAAATTTTTTATGTAATATTCTATAACTTAACTCATTAAGATTCGAGTTCAACTCATTAATATTGATAAAAAATTGGGCTCGAGCTTACCAGGAGCTCGACTCAATGGCACCCATAAGCATAACTATACATTTTTATTATATATATATGTATATAGCGAGTCGAACTGACTAATAATTAGACCACCACGCAAAAAAATCATAATGCATACAACTTACATGAAAAATTATAATAATATATTTTAATTTCGTATCTATCTCTGAACTAACTAATGGTTTTGGACCATATATTTTAATTTCGTACAACTTAAAAAATATTTAATATGTAAATATCATATGTTAAAATATTATAGAAAATAAGCAATGTGTTTCATTATTGAGGAAAAAATTATACAGTACATCTTAATTACACTAAAAAAAAAAAACTCTTACATTCCAACGGAAATTTTCGGTTGGAATTCTTTATATTTTCCGTTGGAATAGCTATTCCAATGGATATTCCTACGTATAAAAATCCGCGGAAAAAACGGCCGTTGGAATAGCTAAAATCCAACGAAAAATCCTATGAAAATAAATTCCTCCAACTATTCCAACGGAAAAAATCCCTTGGAATTCCTAAACCATCCAACACTTGTTCCAACATAAAATTAAGTTTGTTGGAATATTCATTGGAATTACCAACAAAAATTTTTGCCGTTGAAATTTTTCGTTGGAATTGAAGTGTTTTCTTGTAGTGTTATATTCTGGTAGCCTGTTGCTAAATATACTTTTAAAATTATTACTTAGAGAAAAGTGCATTTTTCGTCCTCTAAGTATACCCCTCTGAACAATTTAGTCCTCTTCGAATAGCCACTTTGAGTTTCGTCCTCTAACTTCGAAAAAAGGTTGCAGATTCATCCCCGACTCGCCGGAAACTCGTTAATTGCCCGGAAACACGCACGTGACATGCACGTGATGGAAATTAACGGGCAACTCGCCTTACGTGGAGCCGGTTTTTACACGCTGGTGTGGGTTTTGACACGTAGACCAACAAACTTAAACGAAAAAATAATAAAAAAATCCACGTGTCGACATACGTGGAAATGGAAACGGGTATAAAAGGACGAATCGGGCCTGAAATTCCTCAGTTACAGCGTCCTTGAACCCTAATTTCCCAAATCACAAGATCCCAAATTTTCAAGAACCCTAATTTTGAAAATTGTTCTTCAAAATTCTTGATTTCGTTCTTCAACATGTCTGAGTCGTCGCATTCTACCGGTTTCTTAGAATGTTGGTGTAGAAAAAGGGCTGTTATTCGCACATCATGGACGGCCGACAACCCGGGCAAGAGATTTCATTCTTGCCTCGGCTACAAGGTACGATTCATTCTACCGGTTTCAGTAGAATTGGGTTTGTTCTTGTTTCTTCGGTTATGTTTATTGCAATGATCAATTATGTTATTTGGTATTATGTGCTTTTTCCTTGAACCCTAATTCTACTTCCCATTTGGCTGCAACGTTATGAAGCTCAATTTGGTCATGAAGCTCAATTTGGTGACTTTTTTTTTTAATGTATAGAATGGAGGCTGCAATTTTTTCTCTTGGGTCGACCCTCCTACCTCTGACCGGTCTCAAACAATCATGCCTGGGTTATTGAAGAAGATGAATGCACTGGAGAGAGCAAAAGAAAACTTAAAATTTGAGAATACCAAGTTGGAGGACAAGGTTGAAAAACTGGAAGAGAAGATTGAAAAACTGCAGAAAAAGGTTGAAAAATTGTAAGCATTGAACAAGAGAGTGGTTGAAAAGAAAGAAAAAATGGAGATGAAAATGGGGTTTGCATTGGCTATAGCAATTGTGTTGTGTGTATTTTTGCTATATAGATATAGGTGAAGGCTATGGATTGAAGAAGGTTGTGTAATGTGTTTATTTTCTCTAGTAATCTTTTATGTACTCTTTTATTTTGTGTACCTTATTTTGTGCACTTGTGGTTGTAATGAAAATAAATTTTCTTTAGTTTCCATACTTGTGAAGTTTGTCCCTTCAATTTGGAACTGCACAAACCTCAAGAAAACTTAACTGATTACCACAAACAACTCAACACAAATAAATTCAATGTCCTGCCATTCACACCTCAACACAAATAACCATTATAACTGAACTCCTCATAACCATCATCACAACTTATGTCTTCCATTAACTAAACAAAAAAATAGCACAACACAAGTGTTTTACAACCACCAAGCATAATAAATGACATTGCAATATCCTGCCATTCAGTTTCCCAAAAAAATTAACAATATCCAAAAGCATTCTAACAATATCATGTCATTCAGTTTCAAAACAAAAAATGCCATTCAGTTTAAATACAAAAATCCATTCAGTTTCAATCCTGCAAGTGTTTTACAACCACCCAATTAACTTCACTTCTTTCTAGAATTTTGTCCCTTCTCCTTTTTGATCTGCTTCAACTTTTGAGATGAGCTACCAAAGATAAGTCATTTTGTATCCTTTCAAACATTGTTGGAGTTCCATCTCTTGCAGTGATGGCCTCCAACTGCTTACCTCTAAAGTATGAATCATCTCCTAATCCCATTTTCAGTTGTTCAAGGGGTGTGGGTCCCTTTGTCATCTCAGGCTGTTGAGTTGCACAAAACTCTTGTGTCAATTGTGACACAAATCCCTCATCATCCCAATCAGTTTCTTCTACAAATGGAGCAGGTGGTGCCATGCTTGGCCTTTCTTTCTGTTGAAGAAAAAACACAGACATAACACCATTTTTTTACACTGAACATAACCTAAATGAATTACAAGGAAAATTAACAAAGTAAGTAATACATGTTTCTCTATGGTGGAGGAGGAAGCTTGTTTCTGTTCAAGAAACAACAATTTGTTCATCAGAAACATTTGTTAATAATGTAATTAAATAGATTAAAAATGGATTAGAAAGAAAAATGAATAAAGTACCACCTGCTTATCATTGCTTAAACCTTGTTTCTGTTTCTTTGATTCCCTTTCTTTTTGTTTGGACTCTTTTGCAGCAGCTTTAGCTTCTTTGGCTTGTCTTGCAGCATTAGCCCTCTTGATTTTCAATTGCAAAAGTTTGGAAACATAAATAAATAAATAAGTAAAAACACATCTTTTAACAATAAATAACAAAACTGAAAATTAAGACATATTATACATAAAAGCTGTAATTTTGCTTACAATTTCCTTGCTTGCTTTGGCCAGTGGGCTCTGACAGTCCTTCTTCTTGGCATCAGAAACTTTTTCCTTGCCACAAGATCTGGCATTGTGACCCACAGTGCCACATTTTCCACATTTCAAACTTGTCTGCTGCCTCTTCATCTTCATTTGAATCTTTGACTTCATTTTCTGTCTTTTCTCTCCTTTCTCATCATGATCAATCCTTCTTGCTTTCTTAGGCCTACCTGCACCTCTCCCAAATGTGGGAGGCAAAGGTAGAATGAAATGGGTTTGGTTCCACAACATCTGACAGTTAATACCTAGATGGCTGGTTTGTAGACTCTTCTATATGTTTCCACAGTGTAGTACTCATGCACATAATCAACTGCATTGCCCTTCTGTGATACAATTGCACTACATGCATGCTTGCATGGTATCCCACTCAAGTCCCACAACCTACATGTGCAAGTTTTTTTTTCCAAGTCTACCACATACTGACCTCCACCATAACACTCTACTTGATAGTGAGTGTTGTCACTTTTCATAGGCATGCAGTCACCTAACCTTCCCATATTAGCCTCCACTGTCTTAATGATCTTTGGACACACATTGTTTTTCCATCTCAACTTTGCCCTGTCCCTGTTTCTTTGAAGCCTTTTCACTAAGTACATTCTGATCCATTCAAGCATAGTCACTATGGGTTCCTCTCTAGCATCAACAATGCATGCATTAAAACTCTCACACAAGTTATTCAACAAGATGTCACACTTGGGTTTTTCCTCAAAATGTGATTTTGACCAATGTGCAGGGTTCTTGTCATTGAACCAGTCTGCAGCTTCTGGAGATTTTTCTCTCATTTGTCTCATTCTAAAATGGAACTCACCAACAGTAGCTGCCTGTGCAGCAGCCCACAATGCATTTTTAAATGAAGCCCTTCTGAAACCAGCATTTTTAAAGTTATTGTGCAGATGTCTAACACAGAATCTATGTGTTGAGTCAGGAAAAACATTCTGAAAAGCCACAATCAACCCTTTCTGTTTATCACTAATGAAAGTACAATCATTGTCCT